CTTTGAGGTCATTAAACGTGTTTTTGCAGAATATATGGCATTTACCTTATTTTCCTGAATTAAAGACCATTTCATACCCCCCTCCTTCCACATTCACTGTGTATCAATAGTTGGGTTGCTGATTTAGTGAAGAAGACGACAGAACAGCTTCACATTTCTGCAAACTTCAACTTAGGGGCAAAGGGAGTTAGGAAAGCCAAATATTTTTTTCTACTCAGTGTTGGGTTCTGTGCCTAGGTGGTCTGCCTACCAACTCTACTCTTCCTACCTTGGCCTAAAGCGACCATCATCTCCCCCACCAGCCATTTCAACAATAATTGCTTTGTGGTTGTTGATTATTGGGCTACCAGCTTTTGACTCACTCACTAGATAGTTTATTAAACTTTAGGTTCCTGGGCCTCCCACTAAACCCAATGAACTGAAATATTGGGAGTCTGACCCAAGGAATCTACCTTTTCTTCCTGTTTCCAGGTGATTCTTTGAACCCAAATAATTACAAAACACAGTAGCAGTGTACTTTTTTGATTCATTTAAAAAACCCACATGAAAAAGGATTTTCTTCCTTTCCAGTTGTACCACTTGGTTAAGAAACTCAGAGCAAATATTAATGTCAGGAGAGCCCCAGGGCTTACTGCCTCCCCAAGTGCTTGCATTTGGGTAACAGGAATATTTATATCACCATTTGAAATATGATATTCTCATAAATGTAAGCCTGTGATAAGAGCAATAATGAATCTTTAAACATTTTATGTACGTTGTTCATGTCATCATTCAGAAAAATCAAACAGACTAAAACTAGAATTTTAAATCACCCAAATTAACTTAAAGTATCCAGGGAAACTTTTTAATTTTACAGATGAGAAGCTTGAGAGTCAGAGACTGGGCATGAATGACAACACGGGTCTTGGCTGGATCTGGGGTCGAGGTGTCCCGAGAAAGCCCAGGGTTCTACCCACCATCAATGTCTTTCCCCTCCTCCCTGCTTCACCTTTTTCTCTTCTCTTATCAGAAACACATCTGATTCCCACTCTTATCTCTCTCTGCCCCAATCTTTTCCTTTCATTCCGAGTTCTTCAAGTATTCAGAATTTACCTTCAAACTGTTTCTCTCTACAGACGATTTTCTTAGTCTTTCAAAGTCATAGCTTGCTTGAAAAAAAGAAGTTCCTCATAGTGCTATAGACAGTTTATAGTTTTTCAAAATACATGTATTTCCCAACATCATATTAAACTAATTCTTTAATGTAAGTATTTCTTTGTCAGTTTCTATTCTACCACTTTGCAACCTGTCTTCTACCTTTGAGCAAATTGTTTATATCTAGCATTAAATCTCATAAGATACATCTCTGCGGAACATATTATAATTATTATGACCACATATTATAATTATTATGACCACTATTGTCATATCAAAGGAAAGATGCCACAGGGAACATGTGCTTTCAGCATCAGAAACGTGTTTATTTACATTTCAGACTTTTTTGTTCCACCCCTCCACCCGAGGTGAAATTATCTGACAAATTGAAAATCTTTATTTGGATGGCAGAGGCTTATGAGAATTACTTCCTGAAATGCAAATAGAGAAATACGCACCTTGAGCCAAAGCACTAATGTGATTTTTATTCAACAGAATTCATTTTGAATGATCTGCATATTTTATTGCCTATCTTCTAAATCTATGGATCCTCAGTAAAATTGGTCCCATATTGGGCACTGGGTTTCACTGTGCAAACATTAAGTTGATCTTTTTAAAGTGGGCATAAGCTTAAAACAGATTCCTTTTTTTTCTGAGACTTTATCACTTTTTTCTTTAAACCTGAGGTTGACTAGAGTCAAATCTCTTAGTTGAGTTAGCCAGGTGTGGCATGGCTCTTTAAAAAAAATTTTTTAGTGTTTATTTTTGAGACAGACAGAGAGAGAGAGAGAGAGCAGGGGACGGGCAGAGAGTGAGGGAAACAGAATCTGAAGCAGGCTCCAGGCTCCAAGCTGTCAGCACAGAACCCTAAGCGGGGCTCCAACACATGGACCTTGAGATCATGACTTTTTGGAGCTGAAGTCGGAGGATTGAACTACTGAGCCATCCAGGCATTCCTGGCATGGCTTTTTCAAATTTAAATTTCAAATGTTACATGTAATAAATTTTAAGAATATTAAATGCCCAGTATATAATATCAAACTTTCCCCAGATAGATGTAATTTTCTACGATTACTGTTTTTGAATTTGAGAATCTCCAAAGGAAAAGGATCATGTTTCAAATTATACTTCTTAATAATTGAAATGAAATTTGTTCCCTAGGTAGCAAATCCCTAAAGGTTTTCCTTACATCATTATGTGTTTATAGCTTCTTGTTAGAATAGGTGCCAGACCATATGATGAAAAATGTCTGGCACATGGAAGCATTATAGTGAAACAGTCTAAAATGTAAGCTAATGAGTCAGACCATTAATGCTCAAATCCTGTCTTCTCTATTTACTACCTGGGTGACTGCACAGATTCTTACACTCTCTGTACATCAGTATCACCATTTTAAAAGCATATGCTCAATAGGATTAGATGAGCTAATACTGTACAGTGCTTAGAATGGTGTTGGGCAGTATTTATCATATAAATATTGGCCATTATTATTACTATAGAAGTAGATCTATTATTATTATATAGTATCACAAGTGTTATATTGTGTTGTGCTATATTATTAACCTAGTGAACACTCACTAATTATGAAATAGATAACTGACTATGGAAATATATTTTTAAAAATTTTTTAATTCTTATTTATTTTTGAGAAAGAGAGAGACAGAGTGTGAGCAGAGGAGGGACAGAAAGAGAGGGAGATACAGAACCCAAAGCAGGTTCCAGGCTCTGAGCTGTCAGCACAGAGCCCAACACGGGGCTTGAACTCACAAGCCATGAGATTATGATCTGAGTGAAAGTCAGCCACCCAACTGACTGAGCCACCCATGTGCCCCAGAAGTATATTCTTTTTACTGAAATATTTAAAGTTCACAGTTCATTACATTGAAATAAATAGCACTTTGACTATGGAGTAATAGTAAAGACTGGAAATTGCATTTGATTTGTATTGAAGAGCTTTTGCTGCAAGATAGCTGAGGATTGTAAAGCCCTGGCCTAGGCAGTGGGGCTCTCTCAGGGGAGGGGAGGGGCAGATAGAGTATCTTTTACCAGACCCTGGATTCAAAGTGAAGAGTCAAGATGGGAAGAGAAGAAAGGCAACGTCTATAAGTCAAGAATCAAACCACCAAACGGAAGGCACAGATGCCAAGGAACTGGAGAACCATGGAGGTTGAGAACAGAAAATAATGGGTCAACACTGAAAAAAATCCTGGGGCAGATGATATCACCCATAGCTGGCCTTATGAGACCTGATTCCTGGGCAGGAGGCCATATGGACTGGCATTAGTGCCTTCCTCACTTCTATTACTGCTGCAGCTGCTTTGCACCAAACATAACCTGAACTTGTATTTTCGACAAAGATACACACTCAATATGATATTCATTACTTTAAAAAATGGTATTCATGTGCAACCTCATCACAAAAGAACTAGAAACACCTTCCTCAGTAGCAAAAAGATAAAATAAAGATTCACATGTCCCTCTGACATCAACACATGTATCAGAGCACAACAAACAATATGATAAAATCATTAACGGAAACAGAGACCTAGAAATTATGGCAGATACTGCCACTAATAATTTTTAGGTATCTCAAAGATTACCTTGGAGGAAAGAAAGAAACAAAAATAACAGAACAAATGTCAAACTCATAAAATTGACTTGTATCTGAAAGAAGGCATCTCCAGAAAGTGATCTTTATCTGAATCATATTTCTCTTAAAGGGGAGGATAGGGAATTCTAGCTTGATCTTGCTCTCAGTATGTTGAATATTCATCTTGGGCAACAGAACACAATTTACATAATGTGAGGCCCAGGCCTGTGTGCAGGAACACCCTTCAGGGAACTCAGATGAAGCTTCCAAAATAACAAGAACATTTTCCAGTTCACCGCAGAGGGAATCCGCAGCTCGAATTTCATTTTCTTTGACAGGATTTCCCAGATTTGCTCAAGAAATGCCCCAGAGAATGATTGTGTGTGTGTGTGTGTGTGTGTGTGTGTGTGTGTGTGTAGGAGATGTGTGTAATGTTTGTACATGTTTACATGTAGTTTTTTGATGATAATATTTAGTAACAGCAGAGTTTTAAAGAATTTAAATGAAGATGATATACAAACCCATATAAGAGCATTTTTCTTTGAGGTACCATGAATTTAATCTGTCAACTTTTGCTCAAAGGAGAAAAGAAATACTTTCATCTAAGTCTCTATTGTTTGGTCCTGCAGCAGAAATTAATTCTACCTCCATTATAATGTATGGATACAGCATATCTGAATGTAAATTATTTGTAAATAGTAAATATTGTAAAGGTCATATGACTAAAAAAGTGCTCAACTTCTAGTATACATTAACACAAAACAAATTTTTGCCTTACTTAGATTTAAGGTCAACATACATTTTATATTACAAATCTTTCCCCCCATAAAACCTTGACACAATTTGAATTTTTTTTAAAAAAGAACTACTCTCTTTAAATTTTCCTTTTTAGAATTCACATTAATTCTGTTTCTTCTTATAAAATAATGTCTTACAAGAAACTCTCTACGACAAGTACATTTCTAAATAGAAATAAAGATTATTTTAACATCAACTCTTTCAAAATCATTCAATTTTCTACAAACTAGTTCATTTTTTAAAATATGCAAACGCACAATTTTAAGAGGTAATATTACTCTTCCACTTGATGTACTGATATTATCAGACATTAATGAATAATGAATAAACAGCCCTTACAGCACCGTAGTCAAGATCAAATATTAAAGCAAGGATAGCAGAGTCAATAGACATAGATCCTTCTCATTTTTTGTTGTTGCTGCTCCCATTTTTTTGCAAATATTGAATGAATGGCCAACATCTTTGGCATGTTACTTACTGATGGGTAGAGGTAACCTTCTCCATTCATGGCTATATACAATCCTGTCTTCACTCCCTGGATGGCAACAACGCGCAGTCCCACTGGTATGAGGTTGAACAGTGCTGTAAAGATAAACATGGCCTGTCACAAATGGGCAGGGGAAACAAAACTTTGCCATCACTTTTCTCTCTCTCATTTCTTTTATTTAAAAAAAATCATCTTTTTTACAGCCTTCTGAGAAGTCAATTAATTAACTTTTATTTCTCTTTCTAATGAAGACGTACCTGCAATGGGTAAAATTAGCCCTTGCGTTTCAATTGGTAGATCTTAGCCGTCCGCCTATAGCATTTTGAAGAACTGGTGGACCAAGACACAGAATCAAGACTGTAATCATGATTCCAGTCACAGTATCGGGCACTGTTTGATGCCAAAAAAATCTCAAGACTCTCAAAGAGTGGAATTTAAAAAATTCCAAGTTGAATGCCTAGTCTGTTCTTTCAAGCAGAAGGTGTGCTTTATCACTGCAATGTAGGACAGGCCAGAAGTTTAAGAGGTAATTTCAAAAAGAAATTAATCTTGCTGAACCAACATGAGATGCCCAGCAGATCCCAGAAAAGGTGTGCACCTGGCAATATGCTCAGTTTAGAAAGAACGAATCATAGTGAACGCATGCACGTTCTAGAGAGAGACATTTTCTTTACTAACATCTCATAAAACTATGAGTGATAACTAAAGTAAAAGAGGGGAAAGTGTTCAACTTTACCCATCTACAAGATATATTTCCATGTTTCACTTCCTCCCTTACTGACCAGAAAAGTATTTTTATATTTTTTTACATAGTACACATAGCAATGTTATCACTGAGTTTTTAAAAAAGTCTTAATGTTCCTTTAACGTATTGCCATGCTGGGGTTACATGTTGACTCTTTTGTGGGTATTCTACCACCATTCTTAGTATTAATTCCTTCACGATTTGGGGGACTTTAATGTAAATACATTTATAAGAGAGCTATTATTATCCACAGCACGGTTATATGCTCCCACTCAAGGTCTTAATTCACAAGTAATTCCAACCAACTGGACCAGGCCAGAACAGGTAACGGCAGCTCTGAAGTGCTGAAGTAAATGTGTAAACAAAATACCTGAGGTTTAGGTTCTCAAGTGTATTCCACAAAAGACGAATAGTTTGAAAAATGTGGGTAATTTTGGCTTCAATCTATGGGTCTACTAGATACATAATTAAAAATGGACTTTATAATTTAATTTCTATTCAATTCTGAGGCACCACGTGTTTTCTCTGAATAGGGTGGGGGAAATTTACACCCTCTCTTCCAGTTATTACATGTTACTGATTCCAAGATGTCAAGATGCCTGTGATGAAAGGGACATGGTGGGCCATCGCCATAATTAATCATTCTTATAGGAATACTCAGGGGCCAAATGGTTAAGTGGATATTAGCTTTCATGATGCAAGCTAATGAGATCACTAAGCTGTTTTCCATGGGATTCTAGGGGCTTATGTTACAGAAGAATGAGTCGTAAACTTGCTCACTTCCATTACTTAATAGTAAACATGAGTGGGAGTCATTGGGTAGTACGTGGTACTTGTGTCATTGTAACTCAGTATTCTTTGTGAGACAGGGCTACTGGCCAATTTCACTCTTGGTCAGAACACCTAAACTGTCCCATCTCCCTTATATTTTGAAAGGATGGGCTCCATAGAACAATTCCTGATTTATACATAAAAGTTTTGGAGGAAAAACATAGTTGGATGCCTGTCCTTCAAAACTATTCTAACTTAACCTATTCAAACTTAATTATTCTAATCTTCATACATTCCCAATGGTATTTATAGGTGCCATATATTTGATATAGACCAGAGAGTAAAATTCTAGAAAACAAGTACATCCTTAAATCTTCAAAATAATGTGGTATGGGAAAGAGAAAAAGTATAGATGATAGCCTAAGATGAACACCCATCTTAGGATTTTTTTTTTTTTTTCTAGGATTTGGGTTGGGACCTGAATTCTAAAATGTCATTTAATATCATTTACAGAATGATGAGTCACAGTGAATCCATATAACCATTGTCATGCGGAAGCCCATTCAGAGCTAACTGTGATGTGTCCATGGTGGTAATTAAAACCACAGATACCCACATTAATTGAGGTACCATTGTCTTTTCCATTCCTTTTGTCTTTTATATAATTATAAAGCAATGTCACAAAGCCTAGGGGAGTCAGAATAATAAGATGTTCATGCTTTGTTTATTCTGGGGAACACTCTAGTTTTCTATACAATAGTGATTTTCAATCCTGGATATACTTTAACATTAGCTGTATTCATAAAACAAGATAGCCATGCCCAACCACAGAATAATTAAGTTAAATAATAATCTCTGGAAGTGAGTTTAGGGTTTAGGGTATAAGAAAAAATTTTTAAAGCTCCTCAATTGACCCTAAAGTACAGCCAAGATGGGAACAGCCATCCCAAGGCCTGTAGGGTGGTGGTAGCTGTGAGTGACGGGCCATTTTTACACATCAAATTATCAGGTCAGGAATTTCTAAGGTGAGAGGATGCTTGTAGCATTTATTAAATCTCTTAGCGGGAACAATTAAGTTTGAGAGCATAGGAAAACCTCAGGACATCCCCAAAAGCAAAAGAGGGTAAAAGAAAACCACCCCCTAATTAAATGCCATAGTTCATGGTAATGCTAATGTTTAGTAGATAGATGGGAAGCTCTAAGAATTTTAAATGAATACACCCCTAGAAATTAGCATGTGATGATGTAACCTACGTGCTCACTTCTTTCTATGGAAGATGTTTCCAGGGCACATGGAAGCCAATAATAAGCAGTCAAGTTGCTACAGTATCTTGTCTATTAGGACCAATCATCCATCATCAATCACTGTCTTGCCACACTTTCCCTTCTGGAGATTTCTACATCTCGGGCTGGAAAATCCAGGGAGGATGTTAGGGTCAGGTTCACCTGTCTGCTGGCCTTTCTCTCTCTTCTCTACTCACCTAAAAATCTTGACAAAGGCAGCTTAGTAGGGTGGTTCTGACTTTACCTGGTTCTAAATAAGCTCATGTTTAGTTGTGGGATATGTGTCAAATCACGAAGATTTGAAGGCTCAAGCCTCAGTTTTGTCATAGTAACTTTCAAGGTGGCAGCATGGTGACTTTTAAGTTATTTTTCCTACTTACAGATTACTAATCCTTGATTTGGATTCAGAGAATTATCAAAAATCTGGAATGCATTTGTGAAGTATTACATAATGCCCTTCATCAAACTAGTAGGGCAGTGCTGCCTGCCCACATCTCTAGTGCTCACCCTCATTTTTACAGAATACGTCTCATGGCTTAGGATTTTCTCAAGATTCATAAGACGACTGTAATGAATCAGAGAAAAGAAAACAATCTTAAAATCCTACCTTAAAACTGTTTTTCAATCACAAAAGTGATGGTACACAAAGTAGAGTGAATCAGTAATCCCTATGGCTATTATAAAGCTACTGTAGTCCTGTCACGTTTTATTAAATTTTATGGTCATACAATTTTTATTGCCTTTTGAGGAGAGAATCTATATCTTACCCTGTTTTTTTCTCTATTCTGTAATGTCTTGGAAAATGTTGAAATGGCAACAAAACTAACCCAACTGGCTGAAAGGGCACATAAAATGCAACATAACTTATAATAACAGAAGGTACGGGCCAGCTCTTTGCACAGGAATGCAAGTCCCTTGAGTGTGGGCACTAGGACTTCATTCTGAGGCTTCTATACAGGACATCCTGTCCCTTCTTCAGTTTTCAAACTGTTCCTCACCAGTATTAGGGGGATAGAGAGGATTGTAAGTGCTGCCAGAGACTCTTGTTCCTTCAAATGCGGTTACACAGCAGGAGAAAAGAAGCCCTAGACATTTAGAGAACAGAAGGCTGTGTGTCCTTTAGTGTCTAGTCTCAGCTTTCCAGTTTAGTGTTTAATACTGTTCGGATAACAGATACAATTGTGTGTGTGTGTGTGTGTGTGTGTGTGTGTGTGTGTACGCGCGCGCGCGCAGATAATGTGTACATCCGCACTTTCACAGTTTAGAAAATATTGTGCTCATGGGGCGCCTGGGTGGCTTAGTCGGTTGAGCGTCCGACTTTTGCTTAGGTCATGATCTCGCGGTTCGTGGGTTCGAGCCCCGCGTCGGGCTCTGTGCTGACTGCCAGCTCAGAGCCTGGAGCCTGTTTCAGAGTCTGTAACTCCCTCTCTCTCTGACCCTCCCCTGCTCACGCTGTCTCTCTCTCTCTCTCCTAGAAATAAACAAAAATATTAAAAAAAAAAAAAGAAAAGAAAATATTGTGCTTCTTATTCATTTCTGAAACAATAAGCTTTTAAAAGACAACATCTACCTAATACTTCTTAATTCTATATTGATTCCCATTGTTAAAAATAACCAATTTGTTTGGCATTACAAAAACCAAAGAAGAAGGTAGGGGGCAATGCATAAAACCTGTGAAGGAAATTAGTTTTGAGAAGCCCAACTAAGCAGCATTTTCATTCAGCTATGGTTTATTTCCTTTCTTGAAAACTTCATCATAACAGATGGCCTCAACCTCTCAGTCCGAATGACATAGTTCTTGCAGTAGACATTGCATGAAGGCATCAGAACTTACAAATCTTGAGAGTCCACAAGTATAAGACATAAGAAAAAGAGAATGCCTTTTGTCAAAGAATGGGTAAGGAGAAAAAGATAGGGAGAAGAAAATGAATAGACACACATGCATTAGTTTGAACTAGAAGAAACTGACATCTTTTATAGGTCAAAGATGGTCAAGTCTTTACAATTTTAAAAAGTTCATCCTAATATCAAAATCCCAACAAGTAAACAATGGTTGACATCAGTCTGAAGAATAAAAAAGCTTTCTCTTCCTTCCTTGTGTTTGAATTGCTTTACCTTCTCTTTTCTCTAAATCAAAGAAGGAAATAAACCACTTGACAAAAAAAATCAATGAACAAATTCAATAAGAAAAAGTTTAAAAGTACAGAAGGACAATATAATAGACACAAAGAGAGGAAGAGAGAAAAAGATTAGAGATTGAAAAGGAAGAAAATGCAGACAAACAGAAAATTTTTAAGTTGAAAAAAAAATTAAATAAAGTGAGGTCCAAAGTCTAAGAGGTAAACACAGTGGCTAGAAAAATATTGACATTTCACATAGTGACACCAAATGCAAAAACAGTCTCCTTTATATTATTAGCTGATCTTGGTGCTACTGAAAATTTGATTACTAGAATTTAAAACAGAAAGTGCCTATAATTTGGTTATGTATATTCAAAACCTCCCTTCTTCTCATGGAATGATGTTCTATAAATGAAGGGCTAATGTTAAATGGAGGAAAAGATTCATATCCACTCCTGATCCACTAGTAATATGTGAATAAATATCTCCAATAAATCAGTTTTTGCTTTTCATTCATTCTCCTGAGCAGTGGAAAGTGTCTGTTTTAGAACTAATGTTCTAAATTAAACAGATGTGCCAGAATAAACAGAAAATGGGAAGGGAAAACGACAATTGAATAAGAAGAGACACCAGACTGAAAACACAAAGAATTATTCCTTATCAAAAAATAGTAAAGTGAAGGCAGACACTAATACAACGAAGAGTCAGTGGCTTTTCAATTAAAGAAAAATCATCACAGACCAAAATACATAAAGTAGTTAAACATTTTGAACAATGTATTCAAAGGCACTGAACCTTCACATCCTCTCTGTAAAAAAGATACTATCTTTTCATGTTGAATGCAAATAATTTGAAAAATTCCATTTCCATTATTTGAAACAAATAATCCTTATCGCTCTTGAATTTCCACAATTACCACTGAAAAGCTACAGGCCTGATAAAAAATAGTTTTTCCAAAGTAAACACGGATTCAGCTTTCCTCTGGAAACATTGGTGTCCTTATTCGGCTTTTAGGATAATGAAGATGAAAAGTAACAACAATGCTGGATGTAACAATTATTTTGGAAAAAAAAGAGAAGATACCTTCTAATTATCTTAAAATGAGAGCTTTCTTTTGTTGCTGTTAATGTTTTCATCCATGTGGTCCAAGCACAACAGTAAATGGCATTCTGGTGTGTAACATTTGTAAAAATGAACCAACATAACAAGTATTTGTAAATGTATCTTAAGAAGTCATTTAAACAGGGGCGCCTGGGTGGCTTAGTCGGTTAAGCGTCCGACTTTCCCTTAGGTCATGATCTCGCAGTTTGTGGGTTCAAGCCCCGCGTCGGGCTATTTGCTGACTGCCAGCTCAGAGCCTGGAGCCTGTTTCAGTCTGTGACTCCCTCTCTCTCTGACCCTCCCCTGCTCACGCTGTCTCTCTCTCTCTCTCTCTCTCCTACAAATAAATAAAACATTAAAAAATTAAAAAAAAAAGAAGTCATTTAAGCAGCAGCGTTATCTTCTACCAAGTGTGTTCACGGGGTGGCCTGAGGTTGTCACTTACTAGAATTAGTGCTGTCATCCTTGGTTCCGTCGAGAGCTCCATCTGGATGCATTTGCAAGTAGTAGCCTTGCCTGCAATATAACCTGGTCACTATACCCTTGAGCTGGGGATCTGAAAGGCAAACATAGTTATCATAAGCCTCACAATGTGTCAAAACAGAGTTTCTTTTTTCTCTTTCTGATTCTTTTCTTTCTTTGTCAGAGGAGGGCATTTGATAGAAGAAGCACCTTTTAGTCTCTATTTCCCAGATTCCGTATGTATCAAACCTGGAGCATATTGATCAGTGAGGGTGGAGAAAATGCAGTCATAACTTGCATCTTTCAGCAGCAGAAAATAGGTCATTTTATAAAACTAATGTGTGGATTTAAATTATTGATTAAAACAGTTCAGCTACTTAATTATTCATTTGAATAATTAATTAATCATTATAATAATTAATGAAATTATTCATTTTGTTAATAGTTAAGTCCTAAACTAATTAGTTTAATAGTTTAAACTAATATCATTCAGGATGGCAGTACAAAATTTGTGCAAACTTCTGGTTCTAAGAAACCTTACTAAAGGCTTTTTAATGGATTTTTCTTTTTACTTAATTTGACAAGTAATCCCAAAAGGCAAAAAGCCTGTATTAAAAAAAAAAATCCTACTAACGTTTTGATTATCAGTTCTTAGAAAAAAAACCGTTATGGAGAGTGCTTCTTTGATGTCTAAAGAGTTAGCCTGACTGGCATGAAACATCTGGTACACATGCATGACCCATAGAAAAATGGGAGAGCCCATTTCTGAGCTCAGGGTGAGGCACCATAACAAACCTATGCTGTCAGGTCAGCTCTGTGGCCATAATCTGGACAAATTAGACAGTTTGAACACATTTATAACTAAAAAAGAGAATGAAGTTTTATAACATGGGTTTTGATTCTTAGCCAAAAGGGCCAAGGATAGAGGACAGCAGAAGTTTATTAAAGCAAAAAGGGAAATTATATGGTAACAGACTTCTCATTTTGATGATTCATTGAAAAGAAAACCACTCAAGTGACCCAGGCTTCCAAAGGAGCCGTTGTACCTTTGAAAATAAATATTTACATGTGGCTTTTCAAAGGTCATCCCCATCTCATGACTAGATTTGATGTTGGACATCATATTCCTCACCATGGCAACTGGCACCTCTCCACAATCGCTGACTGGGACATGCAAATACGATCATGCTATCAAAGCAGTAGAATGGGACAGAACCATGAAGCCTACCATCTTGTAACTGACAGAAAATTTGTGGATTTGCCAACAGGTGAACACACACACACACACACAAAAACACACATGTCAAAAAAAAAAAAAAAGTTCTTCCAAACCAGAATACCCTTAGTTTTTTGTTTAGTCCTCAGGAAATTAAAGACAATGTCAATATATATTATTGTGGACATATGATATAACTAATAGTTTGAAAAATGACTTTTTGGTGCTTAGTCTTTCTTCAAAGATTGTATAATAGTGAAGAAATTTAGGGGGGAATAATGCATGAACACCACAGCATCACATGGGTGTGACTCTAATAGATGCTTCTAGATGCTTTTAGGAGGCTAGGATTAAAAACAGTGTAAGTAAGGGGCACCTGGGTGGCTCAGTTGGTTAAGCGTCCAACTTTGGCTCAGTCTCACAGTTTGTGGGTTCGAGCCCCGCGTCAGGCTCTGTGCTGACAGCCAGCTCAGAGCCTGGAGCCTGTTTAAGATTCTGTATCTCCCTCCTCTCTCACCCTCCCTGGCTCATGCTGTCTTTCTCTCTCAAAAATAAATTTTAAAAAACATTAAAAAGTTAAAAAAAAAACAATCTAGTGATTATTGAGATTGTGTGACATATGTTCCTTATTCTGGTATCTACCTTTAAAAATCACACAATGTTAAGATGCGCATTAGTGGGAAAAATCACTCTTGCACCTTAGTCTGCCCATCACTCAGTAAAATTTGACTGGGTTATTGACCCTCTAAGTATCAAGGACTTCTTTTCTTATTTAAGCTGCATTATATTTATGCTCATCGTTGCAAATAAATGGCATGGAAAAGAAGAGAACAAAGGTAAAAAGTCAGGTTCTTAATAGCCATGAGGACATGCAAGGAATTTCAGAAATTGACAATCCTTCTGCAAAAGCTTTATGTTCTGAATCAGTTATCGTTAATGACCCTACGTTTTAGCTACTACTTGAATTCAGTAGGTCAGGCAAGGCAGTAAAACACACATGACCCCCACCAGCTCCCTCACACTTAAAGAGAACACTTAGTCCTCTTTTTTTCTTTGTTGTTGTTGTTTTTCCTATTATAAAAAAGAGACCAGGGATATGAAGCATTGATGAGGATGTGGAGAAAGTGTAATCCTTGTGTACTGTTGGTGAGAATGCAAATTGGTACGGCCACTATGGCAAACAGTATGGGGGTTCCTCAAAAAACTAAACATTGAACTACCAATCCGATTGATCCAGCAATCCCACTTCTGGGTAGACAGCCAAAGGAAATGAAATCAGGGTCTGGAAGTACACCTCCATATTCATTACGGCCGTTATTCACATTAGCCAGGATATGGAAACACCCTCAGTGCCCATCAGCAAGCGAATGGATGGAGAAAATGTGGGATATGTACACAACAGAATATTAGTCAGCCTTTAAAAAGAAGGAGACTGTGCCATTTGCGACACCCTGGATGGTACTGGAGGACATGAGTCTGAGACCTTTCAGGCTACACCTCATTTCTGATAAGGAAGTACCAGCAGAGCAGGAAACCCTGGTTTTGAGTTCCCACTTAATTTCAAAGAAACGAAACCCAATTGATTCCTATGTATCTAGTTTCACGTTATTGGATGTTTTCTTTTTTAGAAACAATAATAATACTGATTGTGCTCTTCTCAGGTGCCAGGCGCTGTTGTAAGTACTTTACAGGATGAGCCCATTGAACTCACGACAACCTACTTAGTAGGAAGCCCACTTTGAAGATGGGAAGGTGGAGTCAGATCGATGAAGTAATTGACAAAGAGCACAAAACTGGGGTTTGAACATGATCCTATCTTCTAACCACTAAACTGTGTGGCCTCCGGAAGTTGAAGAGTTGGCCCGAACCATCTTAAGAACCTAAACTAAAATGCAAGCCAATCTTTTTTGTTTTTAATTGGGTTTTTAAAGATTAAGCACAGCTATATCTAAACTCAAATCCTGCATACCTAGAGCTAAATCAGCGATTAAAACAATAACACAAAGTTACAAAGAATCAAAGTGCCTGAAAATCTCTTCTATAATCCACCCCACTTTGCCATTGGCCACATTCCCAATAAAGTTCCACTCATAAAACCCTCAACAAAGGCACAGATTAAATACTGTGTCATTCTCTCTTCTCCACCAATTCCAGCCAAAATGCACTTGTATCCCTGACCCATCAGCTCACATGAACTGTCTCAACAGAATGCCTGCCTTTGTCATTCCATCTAAAGAATTGCTTTTTTGCAGATGCTGTTTTCACAATCTCCCTCACTCTTCCCTTGTTCTATTTGCACTGCCCTCAGTATATCAGCCCCTCATGGCCTCTTGAGAGAGGTGATCTTCCCACCAGCAGTGTACCCATTCCATCCAGCAGATCAGGAAACATGCAGTGGCTCTGGCCTGTCACTGAACTACTCACATGCCTCATCTTTCCTGTCCCGCATTGTTTCCTACTGCCTAACTCCACCCCCTGCATATAGTCTCGACTGGGTCACTGTGGGCTGCCTACAAATATCCCATAGTCTTCCACATTTATCTTGTCCCCTTAACCTTCCCTGTCTCAAATCTGCTCACCTACATAAAGATGTCCCCTTGCACACCTATGTGCACATACCCCCATGCACTCATCTTTGCGTATTTAACTCCTTTTCCTCCTTATGAAGATCAGCTACATCAATTCTTTCTCTGGGGCACTTTCCTGACACCTCGAAAGAGTTCAGATTCCTTCATTGAACACTTTTGCACCAGTATTCTTCAAAAGCATTACTTATTTTGAAAAAAATACAGCACTATTCACAAGGGTCAAGCATCAAAATTATTTCATTTGAAATCTTTTTAATACATTAAAAGGTATAGGAAATAATACAACCTACATCTGTGTTATCCATGGGGGTAAACAAATGTTACTATTTTGCTTTATAATTCATTATTTGAATTTCACATTTATTTGTACAATTGAAAGATTGATGTCTATCTTCAAACAGTACTGTAAGTTTCATGAAGAAAACTGAAATGTATGATATTGCTTACCATTACATTTTCAGGGTGTAGATAAATAGGAGCTAGGCAATATATATTTCTTAAATGAATGCTGACTGGGTTAGAGTGTAGTTATCTAGTAACTTTATATATATCTAATAAGAGTGAAAATTGTAATAGCATGAAATCCAGGATGGCAATAAAGCCTAAAAAATGTCCAAAACTTCTGACCAGGAAATTGTATTTTCCAGACTTCTAACTTAAAACTAAATCACAAGTATTATAAACTTCTGTGTAATGACATATGTGTATATAATATGAGCATGACTATGTAAGAAATGCTATCCATAGAGGAAAATACATGGGAAACAACACACAAAAATGTGAAATATAAATATATTTAGCTGGTTCCTGGAATATACATTTTTCAACATGTTATTATTTAAAAAGTCTCCTATAATTTCATAATGAAAATACATATTTTAATAAAATGTATTAATGTTTTTTGACAAAGGATGTATAACAATAACATTTCATACATACTTGCAAGTAATACTGTAATACATATATGCAAATAAGCTAAATGCATATTATTGTTGTAGATTAACTAGTTGCTCCAAATTTTCAAGGAGTCCACTTATTAGTTTCTCTTTGTGCTTAATCACATGTCCATAAAACTTTCACTATGATCCTCTCTAACAATACTGGTCATAGTACAATATGGCTGTTTATAGCATGAGGTGACTCTTTCAAATAATTAAAACAGAATGAAACAAGACCTTTCCTCAAAGGCCAAAAAGTATGAAGCCAAATAACCATAACAAACACAAAACAAACAAACAAACAAAAAAACAATTTCCCTGATAAAGCAAATCACAGCAGTTATATGTGGTC